AGCAATCTTCTCATCACGTCCAGGACTGTGGTTTTCCTCACGCTGGCCACCTGCAAACGCCAGCCGGGGGTCAGAGGGAGCGGGCGTGCTGCTCCCTCGCCCTCCCGCTGCCCCGCACACGCACACAGGAGCAGAGGGCAGCCAGACGGAGAAGCCCCGGGGATGGAGCCACGTGCAAAGCCACATGCAGGACAGGGAAATCCCAAAGTCACACAACAGGCACAGCCAGGCTGAGGACCGGAGCGCTGGCGGAGGCCCCAACACAAGGGCGCTGAGCTGTGCCCCCGGCAGCACAGCAGGGGCTGGGGCGAAGCCCAGCTGAGACCAGAGCGACAGGGACACGTTTCACGTTGTTGCTGTCAGACTGGTGTCCTGCTCCGCTGCCGAGGCAAGGAGCTGAGCTGGAGGACAGGAGGGGTCGTTCCCCACTGCGCACACTCCCCCCCTCACCCTGCACTGAGCCCGGGGGCAGACGCGCCACTGCAGTCCCCGAGGGCTGTCCCGGGCTTTGCCGCAGCCAGGGCCGGCACCCGAAGGAGCGCCCGTAGCAAGGACAGCTCGGCGGTGTGGCAGCCCCGCTCCAGGCACCGTCTGAGCTGCTGGCTGAGCCCTCCCCACACTCCTCCCCGGGAGGACAGATCACACACTCGATACCCTTTTCAGAGCCAGCAGTTTTTCAGATTTGCTTCTCTGAGTAACATCCTGAGGAAACGCACACAACGAGAGGAGAAGAGCAGCTGTTAGCTCCCGGCAGAACTGAGACGTGGCCAACGCAGGTGAGTGCCTCTCAAAACAGAACTGCCCCGTTCTCGCTGCGGGGGCTGAGGGGGCACTGGCCGGGGACAAGCTAAACGCAAGCGGTAGTGTTTGATGCAGCTGAGGGCTGGCAATCCCCTCCCAGAACACAGATCAACCCCTGGGAAGGGGCTGACGCCTGGATCCCACGCTCTTTGGCATGACAGTGATCAACAGTGTTCTGACCCCGACAGCCTGGGCCAGTGGCCCAGTGAGGTGGCAGCACTGGCCGGGCCACTTTGCTGGGCTCACACTGATCGTTTCTAAGGATGGCTTTTATCAGATCGGATCCTCTCGGCTCTCCCGTAGCTGCCGCAGCCATGCTCACGCAAGCAGCAGGTAGCCCAGCATAAGCACAATTGCTTGTTCGCATCTGATTCATATCACACGTGGCCGTCATGTGGTGTGGGCACACGGGCCCGGGATTTGGAACACGCAATTACAGCTCACACCAAGACCGTGGGACTGACGGATGGGATGTTACAAGGTGAGCGTGGCAGCTCCTCCTGCCCTCGGGGAAGGGGAGGCGTGCCCGGCGGGCTGCCTTACCGACTGGTCGGTGGTGAGCGGTGTGTACCCCGTCATGAGGAAGTGCAGCCGGGGGGTGGGGATCAGCGAGGCAATCAGCCCGATGAGGTCGTTGTTCATGTACCCCGGATACCTGAGCGTGGTGGTGCTGGCAGACATGATGGTGGAGACCTGGGGGAGGGCACAGGGTCAGCATCTGCATCACCGCATGGCAGCGGAGCACAGTCAAAACCTGCTTCACGCAGCCGTGCCGGGGGAAGCTGGAGCATCCATGGAGGCCGCCCCTGGGATGGGCAGAAGACCCTCGTTCACAGCTCCGGGCTGCCCACCACCATGCCCAGCCCGTGCAGCAGGTTCAGACCGAATCAAAGGCAGCGAGGAAGCCCCACACCAGCTTCCCCAGAGGGAAGAGCCCTTCTCACCAGCTGGTTGATCTGAGAGAACGACGGGTTCTGAATGTGCAGCCGGTCTGTCGCAATGCGATTCAAGGCCGTGTTGTCCAGAACCACCTGCAAGAGAAACACCGGCTCCGTGAAGAGCCTCAGAGGCAGCCTGAAGAAGGGCAGCCCTGGCCACGTGTCCAAGGGCACCGCATCGCCCAGCGCAGGCCCCGAGCGCTGCAGCCTGGCGGAGCCCTCGGCGGCAGGTGGCAGACACTTGAAACCACAAGCTGACTCATCTGGGGAGCGTAACCGACACTGTCAATGGAAGCTCTTCCCTCCCGTCTTGGCTGTGCTCCGCAGCGCTATCCCAAAGAGCACTGCCTCTGGGCCAGCACCTCGCAGCAACCTTCAGCCCCAGCAGCTCTGCCGCAGCTGCTCTTGCCCTGCCACGTGCAGAGCTGAGCTGGGAGGGACGACCAGTGTCTCAGTTAGGACCTGACTGAGGGTGCTGGTGCAGGCTGAAGGCGCTGCCTGGCTGGGGCCTGTGGGTGCTGAAAGCGATGCTGGAATCGAGTCCAAGTGGAAGGCTGCAGCAGAGCTATGCAGAGGAAGGACAGCCAGTCCTCGCTGCCATGGGAAGAATCTGCTGGATCCCGGTGGCAGAAATGCCGAGCCAGACAGCTCAGCAGGGGATAGCGCAGAGCCCCGGTCCCTGGAGCCACCACATCTGCTCAGCCCTTCTGGACGGGGCTGGACGCCCGGCCCTCGCTGCCATGGGAAGAATCTGCTGGATCCCGGTGGCAGAAATGCCGAGCCAGACAGCTCAGCAGGGGATAGCGCAGAGCCCCGGTCCCTGGAGCCACCACATCTGCTCAGCCCTTCTGGACGGGGCTCTACTCGTCGCTGTGCCTGGGGCTTTGCAGGCACGCCACACGCTGCTGCGGCACTCACCCCACACAGCTACGGCACTTGCCCCAGGAGAAGCGGTGTGTTTGAGTGGCTGGGGACAGGGGTGCCAGGCGGGAGCTGGCTGCGCTGCTGCCCTGACAGGCAGTGGGACTCTTACCACGCAGTCAGCGTTCTGAGTCAGCCTCTTCAGTGTCAGCAGAGAGTTGTACGGCTGGACTACAACATCGCTCATCTCATCCTGGTTTGGGAAAACCGAGTAGGTCTCCACCAGCTTCTTGGGATACCTGGTGAGAAAGCCCAGCCACCTCAAGGGTTAACACCACCAAGCCAGCACTCTCTCCTCCCACAAGCTCCCTTTGCCGTCTCCAGGGCTCAGGACAGCAGTGAGTCACCAGGACTTCGTGCCAGAGTCGGCTCCCAGGGAGGGAGAGAATTTGTCCCAGCAGTGCCTACCCTAGCAGTACAGGAGCAGGCTGCCAGACTGAGCTACAGGCGAGGCTGAGCCATCCGCAGGCTGATTAAGCAGCTGCTTACAAGCCTTTTCAAGAGGCTGCAAGCTGAAACAGGCAGGGATGGCAGCTCAGAGCCCACAGCTAGAGCCTCCCACCCTCCCTTGCACAGTCGGGGTGTCAGGAGGCAGCCGCCTGGTAAGAATGGCTGAGGGAAGGCAGAGTTTGGACACCACTGAGTCCAGTTTCGGAGCCTCTGAAGTCCCCAGGCGTATCGGGAGCCATCCCTTCCCCAGGCAGCGTGCCAGGCGTTGCACAAGACAGTGTTTGGGTGGGGGTGGTGGCTCTGAGTCAGCGCTCTCCGGCTCCCCACTTTGGCAGGCCGCCCGGGCTGGGCCAGACTCCGCCGCAAGGGAAGGGGACAGGCTGAACACTCACCTGTCATTCAGTCTCTCCAGGAGGTACGAGCCCAGACCGGAGCCCGTTCCACCAGCAATGGAGTGGCAAAGCACGAATCCCTGGAAGGAAGCAGAAGGCAGACAGCTCAAGGTCCAGCTCAGCCCCAGGGGCAGGCAGAGCAAAGCACACTGTGCCGCCACCACCAGCTCCAGCAGAGACTTGCTAGCCAGGGTGAGAACTCCCCCTGTGACAACTGAGAGCACGGAGCTGACGCCTGCGGATGGACCGGAGGTTAGCCCTGGCTCCTGCAGACCACAGCTATAGCCACACACTCGTCAGGCCACTTCTTCCAGCGTGGGTGGAATCCACATCTCTGCACACACCATAAAGTGCAACTGCTGCTCAGGAGCCTGCTGGAATCCTCCCACCCCAGAACAGACTTCAGAATAGCTCCAACGTCACCTTCAGGATGTAGTCGGCCATATAAAACGGAGGTACATGTTCTCAGCCCTTTCCCTGGGACCTCCAAGCCATTCCCCTCCTCCTAGAGTGCCCGAGGCCAAACTCCCTCTACCTGACTTCAGGGCAGTTCCCACCTGCTGCAGGTCCCAACACGGGCTCTTGGACCTTCTGCCAGCTTATTTTACAATGACATTTTCCCTTCCCCTGTTGCCATGTGATAGCCTGACACAAACACCAGGGAACCCTGTCTGTCTACGTGCAGGAAATAAGTTTACACGGACGGTGGCCAAGGTTGTGCCGGAGGCACACAGCAAAGCAGCCATCGTACCCCTGGTGTCCCTTTAACCCAGCTGGAGAGAAAACAACGCTGCAGCTGTCTGCGCTCATTCTGTGGATTTCAAAGCACATCAAACAGAAGCCTGGCTTTGAAAACAACAAGCAGGGCAATGGGATCCAAAGCCCCTGATTTACTTACTTCCAAACTGTCGCTTCCATCAGCCTCTCTGTCTATTATATCAAAAATATCTTCGTGGATTTTTTCCCCCTGCAAAAGATCAGACCAGAATTTGCTACTTTCCCACAGAAAATGCAGAAGAGCTGCTCAAGCCTGCTGTGAAGCCAAGTCAGATTGGCAATGTGACCCTGCACCCAGGGTGCCAGGAAGTGTTAGGTCTAAGTCCCAGCTAAATGATGAGGTATTCTTCAGAAACCATGTACTGAGCCTGACATGAGAAGGCTACAATAAAGGCTCAGGCCTAACGAGCTGGCCTGTGTTTGCACCCAGGAGCACTAGAGCTGTTACCTGTGAGAAGCCACTGGCCCAGTTGTTCCCAGCTCCCCCTCCATGCTCTGACAGGTAGATGTTTTCTGGGTTGTAGAGGTTGGCGTAAGGGGAGTTCAGGATGGAGTGGATAACTCGGGGCTCCAGGTCCAACAGCACGGCTCGTGGGATGTAGTGCTCATCGTCTGCCTTTAACAAGGAGCAGTGAGATCATGATGCAGTCACAGCTCAGCGCTGCTTCTTACTGCAAGAGAAACTGCCAGTGCGTGTGCCACCCCCTGGCCACGGGAGAGCATGGCACAGCCAGCGTCTGACAGGGAGGAGGAGGAAGAGAAACTTGTTATGTACGGCCTATCCACAATGCGGCATCTGTACGTGCCCCAGAACATATCCTGAGTGCTGGGCAGGCGGAGGGGGGCGGCTCTAACGGGCCTGCGCTGGTGGCAGTTACGTACGGTGGTATCTATGGCAGCCTCAGCCTCACACTTCTGCCTCCGCAACACATCCATTTCCAGAAACCGGAGCGCAGGCAGGAGCCCTGGCAGCGTGCTGCC